TCTTCCTTGAGGGACTGGGAGATAACACTAGAGGTCCATACGTACACAATCTGTTGGGAAGAGAGCCCCTTAGTGAAGTTAGCCATCTTTTACTGGAATTCATATTTTGACATTAAATAAAATAGCAAATGCTAAACCCATTTCTCAGATGAAAGCTTGTTGAGTATATCCTGTGAAATGTAATAAGACTAAAGTCCTAACCTATAGCTTAGCTCAGAGAATTATAATTTTAGAGCTGAAAGGAGGCTTAGATTCCATCTTATCCACTTCTGTCATTGCACAGATCGGGAAACTGAGGCCCCTACATGAAGTGCTTTATCACATGGCTAACTGCAGCTGTCAGAATGAGAACACAGGTGCCATAGACTCCAGAAAAGTGCTTTGTCCAGATAGAGAATGTGTGTGAATGTTTCTGTCTGAATGTGTTAGGTAGAGAGACAGAAGAGTTTTACGTTTCAATTCTAGTGGGTGCCAGGATTTCTAATGTAGTCAGACCTGAGAGATTTCAATAGATCAGAATTAATAAGCACTGTGTTAAGTAGCCTCATTCCTGAGCTCTTTGACTCTTTTCTGTATTCCACTCAACTTTTTCAATGCCTCACAGGCCACTTCAGCACAGCAGCTCCCAGCACACAGAATACCCCCTAGTCTTGATCTAAACCTTGATCTAGATCTTGAGTTAAAGTTTGGGCTCTGATGAAGCAAAGCTACTGACTTTCTTCTTTTTCCACAGAATCACAGCAGACATCCAAACTCACTTCCGTATGATTCCTTTGCTGGAAAGTTAGAACCATGTCCCTTGCCTACCTCAGAACATTTTAGCAAAGATCCCTGAGATATGACCAATAAAGTTTTTAGGTGGAAGACTCTGTAAGCACCTAGTAGCATTATTAACGTTGATGACAATTCCATGACACAGTTCTGGTTGTTAGGTTCTACCGCCACCAGTCTATCAGGATTGTTAATTACAACTTGAGAAATTGAAAAATCCTATGATATCACTTTGTCCTCGGCCAGATAGTCTCGTATCCTTTGCAAACCAGGGAGAGGGATTCTTCTTGTAGTGGTAAGAAACTCTGAAGGTCAGAGGAGGTAGCTCTCTGGGGAGAAGGTACAGTATCCCCGCTCCAGTCCTGCTTTTCTGAATCCTCAGAGAAAGGCCATGGGAGCACCATCAGAAAGCTCAAAGGCGACTCTGAGAAATCTTTTCTTCAGAGGGAGCTTTTCATGTCATACTTTGAGTATAATTTAATCTCATGTGGTAGAGCTTTGCTCACAAAGCAAGTGGCCTGAATACTGTTTCTTGGCCTCACTAGGATTAGTCTTTGTGATTCGGAAGAAAACTAAAGACCTTTGACTTCTTTAGCTCTATCTTGTTTGATGGAAAGCCATCTCTCTCTTCTTAACCCCAGTTACTCAGCCTGCATGTTGCTTGGATGGGGTTTTATTGTTCTTTGTTTTGAGTTTAATGAGGGCTGCACTTTTTGTCACTTTAACTCTCAGTAAGTGATGGAAAGACAGTAGTTTTGAAGTATTCAAAAGGAATCTACGTTAAATGATTGGGTATCTTTGCTGTTTTCTGGGAAAATGTAGGAAAGAAAATGGAAGGGCAAATAGAAGATAATGGGACACGCTGCCCCATGAGTTTGATGGCCCTAAAAGAATCCAACTCTTTGGAATACCTCCTAGATTTTTTGTTTAAAAAAAAAAGTGGTTTGGGGGTACCTGGGTGGTTCAGTCGGTTAGGCGTCTGATCTTCATTTCAGCTGAGGTCATGATTTCAGGGTCCTGAAATCGAGCCCTGCATCAGGCTCCACACTCAGTGCAAAGTCCCCTTATCCCTCTCCTTCTTCTCCTCCTCCATTCTCTCTCTCTCTCTCTCATAATTAAATTAAATCTTTAAAAAAATTGTTTCATCAGGGCATTTGGCTTTCTTACACCTATCAGAATCTAGTGAAAAAATAAAATTTTGTACAACCTAGAATTTTCTTTGGGTCTTTAAATTACTTCCTATATTTTAAGTAGATTCTGGAGTCTCTGCCACTCAGAAAACATTGAGAACCACTTGTCATTGCAGCCCAAGTGTATACTGCAGATTCTATGGAAGATTTTTGATATCTCACCCACCCTCTTGCAAGATTTTCAGTCTTCTCAAATGAAGGCAAATCCATGCATGAAGCCAAGGTTATTTTTTTTTTTTTTAAGATTTTGTATATTTATTTCAGAGAGAGAAAAAGTGAGAGAGAACAGAGGGAGAGGCAGAATCCCGGCTGATCAGAGAGCCCAATGCAGGACTTGATCCTAGGACCCTGAGATCATGACCTGAGCAGAAGGCAGACATAGAACCACTGAGCCACCCAGGCACCCCACCAAGGTTATTTTTGATAACATTATACCACCCCCATACATTATCACCTCTTTCATCTTTTCCCTATTTCTTCCTGTATTTTCCTTCCTCCTCTGTTCTATGTTCTCTACCGTTAATTGAGTATCTTCTCTGTGCTGGTCATACGCTAATCCTCACATCAGCTATGCTGATAAAGACACAAAGGCTCATGGATGCCGAGCAACTTGCCCCAGGTCACATTAGTAGTAAATGGCAGAGCTAAGAGGTTTAAATCCACTTCCCTTCAGGGCCATAACTTCTCCATTGCACTCTGCTGTTTCTCTCCCCTTCTCTTCTACCACATGCTCCGCTTTGCCTTTTCTTTCTTTTTTTTTTTTTCCTATTTCATTTGTGGTGAAACACACAGAATGTAACATTTACCACCCTATTTCTAAATGTACGTACAGTTCAGTGGTGTTACATATGATCATATCATGCTACCATCGCTGGCACCCGTCCTTTCACAGGACTCTTCATCTCACTGAAGCCCCGTGCACACTAAACCACAACTCGCCATTGTTCCTTCTGTCTGTGTGAATTTGGCTACTCTAGATACTGTCTCTGAGGGGAATCACACAATATTTGTTCTTGTATGAGGGCTTTATTTTATATAGCAAAAGGTCACAGTATCCATGTTGTAGCATTGTCTGAATTTCCTTTTTATGTAAGCCAGAATAATATTCCATTGTATGCATATCCCACATTTTGCTTACGCATTCATTCATCAGTAGACCCTTGGGTTGCTTCCACCTTTTGGCTACAGTGAGTATAGCTGCTGTGCACATGGGTGTCCTGCCTTTCCCTCTTGAAAGCGCCCCCCGCCTTATCTTTTGCCTATATTTAGGCTTGTCCATGGTACCCATAGACATTGCACAGTTCCACCAATAACTCCAAGACCTAGAAAATCACCACCAAACTCTGTAAGCTGTGGGTCATTTCATTTCTTTTTTCTTTTCATTTTTTTATCTCTTCTTTGCCCTTTTTTTCCAAGTTTGGTTTTTGCATTGTAATAATACATATTCTGTCATTTGTACCTGTGTCTCTATATTTCTTGGCTACACTTGGATGGAACTCCAGTAGAACCCTTTGCTCCTTAATACGAATCATACAGAAGAGTTAAGCAGCCCATTTACTGAATGCAAGTATCAGGCTAGGCATGTGGGACAGCATGTAGAGTGGGGCAGTAGCTGACGTGGAGGTTGATTCTCAATTCCAAGGAACTCATAACTTGCAAATATTCGTTACTTTATCATTTACTTTAAATAACTTAGAAATGTTGTTGTCATATTAATGCAGTATGTCTGGGACAAATTTGCCTCTCACCACCCCCCATCACCAGGCCACCATTTGGCAATGACTGGAGACAGTTTTAGTTCTTGTGATTTGGTGGGAGAACACATGCTACTGGCTTCTAGTGTGTAGAGGCTAGAGCTGCTGCCAAACATACACAGAGCACAGGATGACCCCCAACAGCAAATTATCTGACCCCAGATGTCCCTAGTGCCAAGATTGAGAAACCCTGCAGTATGACATATTACCTAATTTACTATTGATTAATCTCCTAGTAATGAGCATAAAAAAGACACAAATATTATTTCTGAAGGTAGATTTCCTTATGATAATGCAGTAACCTGAAATCAAGCTAGCATTTTCCATCCTATAATTTTAATTATTTGCTAATTTTATGTCAGGGGACATAAAATTGCAAATGCCTGAGTGGAATTTGAGTATCTAAAGAAAGTTTCCTGGTAAAAACTTCATCTTAAGAACAGAACTCATCATGTACCATATCGGCAATAATGCCTATTTTCACAAGAGGAGAACAGTAACACCAGCAATAAACTTTCTTTGGATTGGAAAGGCACTGTGTAATTGCCCCTGCACATTTCTCTCTTGACTGCTTTATTTAGATGAGCACAATGTTTAGGTCTTAGCTCCTATGCATATATCTTACAAAGTAATGCTGGAGGCCCTGAAGGATGTTTCTCGTGGCTTTGACTTAAAATATTCCAGAGATAACCCACTTGCACTGCAGGTGACATTCAAAATAGAAACAAAATTCATTCCCAATCTGCCCTTCCCTAAAATGGATCTTTCTTCCATAAAATGGAAGGCCAACAAATGGAAGGGGTTGAGCAAATACCTTGGAGATGCGATGGCCCCATGCCAGGGAGCATACAAAGCACTGAGAAGCCTGAGCCCAGGTGCTACCCACAGGTCTAGACCACTCTCTGAAAGGCCAGGAAGGATAGCATGCAGTCACTTACCAGGAAGTCCCCGTGGGCATGAGCAACACCTTTGCCTGCTTGCCTGCTTCAACAAGCCTCACCTAGGCTTGGACCAAGAATAATGGCAGGGCCTGTGATAAGGTCACAGTAAGAAGTCTGCCCTTATCATGAGTGGCCTGCCCTTTGCACACTCTCAGGGATGGGCTTTGAAAACTATATTCATAGTAAAGATCCTGAAATTCTTTCCTAATCACCAAGGGAAGAATCAGTCTTGGCTCCGTGTTCCAATTTCCTGGTCAGATCCCACAGGTTACCGTGAAAGTGCCCATCTCCACATATCCAGGGATTGACTCTCAGACCTCTGAATCCGTGTTTTTCTGTTCCAGGACATGGGAAGAAGGCAAGGTGCTCATCTTTGATGACTCTTTCGAGCACGAGGTGTGGCAGGACGCCGCGTCTTTCCGGCTGATCTTCATCGTGGATGTGTGGCACCCAGAGCTGACACCCCAGCAGAGACACAGCCTTCCTGCGATTTAGCATGTCGTGCAGGCTTGGGACACACTGGAGAGAGGCTGCCTGCTGGCTCAATCTCCTCGGGTGTGGGGACAGAGGTTCCAAGTTTGAGGGCCCATCATTCTCTTGATGGGCAGCTCTCCCAATTCTAAGGCTCCTCCTAGGGTTAGAAGACACTAAACGGAATATTTTGCCTTGCTGCAGTTCACGTTGAAAGCCCCCCACTGTCCATCCCACGACAGCACCCATCATCTGATGCCGTATTTGCAGTGAAGATGTGAGAGCTTCTGCCTTGTCAGCCAAAGATATTTTTCCCCCTTTGAAGAGGCCTCAGTCAGTGTACAAAGAGAATTCGTGTAGAAACTGTGAATGGGTCACTTCAGTTTGTAATTTTTCTATGCAATTATATTTTTCTAGGGTATCTAGGCCATGGTTTTCATCATGTACCACTACTTTTTTGTTGAGTTTAATAATAAGCTGTGTAAATGCTTTACTTCTAGCTGACTTAATGGTGACTTCCCCTGTGAACTCAGACTTCCCTCTTTTAATTCTGTTTAGTAAAAGACACTCATAAAGAAGCAATTTTATTTTCCTAATACAAAGGAGAAAGGTGTAATTACGCTGATGTCTGTGAACTGTGCTGCTTCCCACCCACTGAGTCTGTTTGCTTTCATATCTTCATTAAGAGCCATTGTCTTAATGTCTCTCCTCGCCATGCAAATGGTGGAGATGCTGTCTTTCTTAGAGGAGCTTTTCACACTGAAACAGGACACAGAGCCATTTTATATTGAGTCACAAAAGTGTCACCAGTAAATTTTTTTAATGCCAAGAATTAGAACTGAAAAAAAAAAAAGTAACATTACTCAAAGTAAAAATTTTCTCTCGGGATGAGGCAGACAGGCAGCTGCCAGGACATCTGGCTCCTTGGGCTCTTTGGCATCTGAGACAGGCCCCGAATCCAGAGTCTCTTTGCCTGTTGTAAATCCCTGTACATGGATTCCCATCACAGTTTTATAAAAATACAAAGGATGGCAGAGCGGAAGCCCAAGAATGCCAGGATCTTGGTCCTGGGTTTAGGATCGCCTTCTTCTCTGAAAGAGTTCGAAAGACTCTTCTCTTTCCCTGGCTTGAGAAACTTCTGCCATTTAAATAGAGCTTAGAAGTAGCAGTTGTTATCCACAGGTTAGCTCTAATCTTACCCACAGCATAGAAACAACTGTTCGAAAAATGGTCTTGCCTACTTATTCCAAAGATGATCAAATTATTAATTTAGAAGGGCATTGATGTATTAAATATTTCATGTTTCCAATCAAACTAGACATGTTACATATATGAATGTAAGGTTGCTCATGCACCTGAATTTTAAGCCAATATGAACAAAAATGCTGAAGAAATGACAGGTTATCAGATTTCATTCATGGGTAGAAAAAACACTTGTGCTTCCTTTCCATCTAAGGACAAGGAGGATGATTTATCTCTTTTAAAAAGAGTTCTTTACCATTAAAATGTACCCTTTTTGCTTGACATTAGCTTCCAGGTAGAAGGGTTTGCAAAATATTTGTCCTGTTACCTTCTATTTTGCCAAAAACAGTCCCACTCAAATAGATGAAGAAGCATGTGAGGAAAGTCTCCAAATTAATGACCACAGTCCAGAAGAAAAACCAAGCTCTTGAAAAATCAAAAGGAGTTTTGTCCTTCAGTATTTATTGAACAGAAGAAATGACTGACAAAGGACAATACAATCCAATGCTCATGTAATAACATTCATGTCACTTCTTGAATTTGGTTCTCAGATGTATATTGCATACACATAAAGAAATTTAAAGTATAAGTTGTCAGTGTTAAACCATCATCTTACATTCATTTAATGAAGTCATGGCATAGAGTAAAAACTAGCTCTTAACTTAATAATTATAATATGGTATTTAAAATCAGGTCACTACAGTAGGATTCTCAATATCACCAATTGAAAAGCCAGAATTATTACTGTTGCAAAGTGTTGGCAATAATCGATTCTGGTAGCATTTTAAATACTTGGATCCCACAACTGTTTTATAAACCCGGTCATAACATGGATTTTCTAATTCACTTTAATTCTTTATCTTTCTTCCCTATGGAATTCCGCATGGAATGTAAGAAAAGTATTTCAGACGCTGCATGGGTAGAGTTATCTCAGTGTTACTGTTTTGTTATTTGAAATGTCTACATAAAACGAATGGGTTTTATGTATACCATGATCCAAGGGTAGAATACAAAAATTACGTCTCTTATTCTCCTCTGCCAGTAGAAAATAAATTAAAACACTAGATTCATTGAGAAAGAGATGTAATAAATGGTTAAGATTAGTAATAATATCTACCTAGGTTGATTATGGCCAGTTGAATCACCTCTTTTCTTTGAATTTTTAGTTAATCCTCTCAAGTCCTTAAAACATACAATCATATTTTTCTGCCCAACTAAAATATCTTTCAACTAAAATATCTTTTATTTGACACTGAGCACCAACTGGTCATACTGATTAATGCTCATGTCATGTGGATGGCTGGGAAGATATGAGATGCCTTAAACACAAACGGGTTTTGGGAAACATGGCACGAATAAGGATATCCTATCCTATGTTACCTGTTTATCTCTATTGAATTTCCTTTGAATGGATAGTTGGGGACTCCCATTTCTAAGGAGAATAGACAAAGAAATAAAATGATCTTTGGCATTTTATCCCGCATTCCTAATCTTCTCTTATTGTCAGTACTTGCATATTTAGCCATCATTAAGGGTCTTCCTCCATGATTGGTACCTACCCTCTCAGCAACAGCCAGCTCCGTTCTCCATACCTTTAACTGGTTGGGGGAGGGCGGGGAGGGAGTGGGGGGCATTAAATGCTTTTGTAGCACTTTTCTTGCCTGTAGTGACCCAAGTGTGGCAATTTGAATGAATCCATTAATCGCTGACATGTGTTTTCGATGAGGCCCCAACCCTCCCTCCGCAATCTCATGCTGCCTGTGGAAAGTCACGTTATTAAGATGAAATAATCGTATTTCAGGTTGTGTGTGTCTTTTTTTTTAAGCCAGATCATGGTAATCAGCTGGTGGCCTGACAAGAGATGTGATATCAAAATTGTTCTTGCAGGTTCTCAAAATAAGCAAACTCTGTGAAGAGCGAGACCTACAAGGACATGCCCTTGGACTGAACAATCTGATGCTGGTGATGAGGTCAAAGAAAATAATTCACTAAGAATGGAAATGACTTGAGATACTACTGTCTTGGGGCTTTGCACTACGTTGAGCTTGACAATTGGGTCTGCACAGTTTCCTTCTCATATATCTACTTGGAAATGCACTTAATCTTAAGTCACAAAACTTAGAGTGGGTCTCTGTGGTACCTCAGAAAAATCCTGGCACTAATGCGGTGTGTGCATCAAATTTAGTTTTCTTTTTTGCAGTTCATTTAATACCATAAATATGGGGGAGGGGGAATCGTGTTGACATGACTGCCTTGCTTCACCTCCAGTCCCCTCACCAAAAAGAAAAAAAAAAAAAAATCTCTCAAGTCTTTGTTCAACTTTGGCTGCTCAGACCAATGGCTGGTGACAGTCATCACTAGGTGGTGGGAGTGGAGGGCCTTGTGTCAAGCGGAACGCACGTGTCCCTGTGGGTCAGTTGCGCACACGCGCTTCCTGGGTGTCTGATCCACTGCAGGCTGGCGATCTGCGAGAGCATGGGGTGACTCGGGGTTCAGTCCAGAGCCAGGAGGGGCTGAGTGTTGTCATTCTCTCCCTTCTCCTCATGTTTCAGGGTCCCAGCTTCTACCACGGACTGAGATCTAATAAATGGGAAGGAGAACGATACAATTACAGACAATTCACGGTGGCAACAATGTTGGAATCTTGGACAACATTCAGATTTTATGCTCCCCTTAAGAATCAAAACACTCAAAATAACTATATAATTTTCCTCCTTTTGGTATCTCTCTTTTTCTTGCCTTTTTTTTTTTTTTTTTTTTTTTGCCTTTTTTAGGGAGAGGCATCTTGGAATTTTCTTGGCCGAGATCTCTGTCGGTAAAAGCAACACGTGTTCTCGCAACAACTCTGCCCCCCTCCCCCGCCCCGGTGTCTAACCATTCTGGGGATCTTGAGATGCATCAAATCAAATACATCTTGTTGGGAGTTTTTTAATGTTTCCTAATACTTTTTAGAGCCCTTGCTTTTCAATGTCATAGCAAACTATCGTGTGTGATGTTAAGACTATGAGGCTTGGAATCAGGTCGGTAAATGAAGACTCTGCCCTTTACTGACTGAAGAGCCCTTGGGCGGGTTCTTAAAACTCTGCACCTTTACTCTCACCAGCAAATCACAACTATTACCTCCCTCCCACAATTGTTGATAAGGACTGAAACTAGTAATGCTCACAAAGCCTTTGACATGGAATTTTAGTTAAGAATGTATGGAGCATTCTAGCATCACCATTATTGCAATGATAGCAGTGATCTTTAGTTTCTAATATGTCCTCTCATACTGGATAATAACAGTTTCTTTTTTGGGTCTACAACATGGATTGAAACTGAAATTATTTTCCAGCTCATAGAGAGAAGGTTATAAGAGATATACATGTGATGAACACTCAATAAATGGTTACATACTAAAAAAAAAAAAAAAAAAGTATTTCAAGCCTTAAGAAGATGGTTGAATTTGATAATGTGCAGTAACATGTTAACTCAAGAGCCTGAGTCACCCAAAGCCTCCCCATTCCAAATGTCCCTTGACCGGCTGTTCTGAACCCTTGGAGTATCCCACCCAAGAGAAGTGTCTTTGTGTGCCTGAGACTTTGGGCCATGCCTTAGTTCATGCCAACAACATGATTAACTGTGAATGCCTTTTTTGTACATCCGGGTGTGGGGACACACCATGTCAGTTTGACCTCTCATGGTGGCAGGTGGGGAAGGAGGAGCTGAGGACTGCATGTCTGGGTGATGGGCTCCTCCCCTCCCACAAAAATTCTGGACACCAAGGCGTTGGTGAATTTCCCTGGTTGGCCACACCTGGTGAGTGTTGTCACACATTGCCGAGAGAATTAAGCTCTGTCAGGACAACTGGGCAGCGTGCGAGGGGTCCAGACCACCTGCCCTCCACCCAGCGCACCTTTCTCCTTTGCCGACTTTAATCGGTATTCTTTCGCTGTAACAAACCATAACTGAGCGTAACAGCTTTGTTGGGGCCCATGAGTCCTTCTGGCAAATTACTAATCCTGGAGGTGGTCGAAAGGACTCCCAAAACAGTATATAAAAACACTAATACTTGTTTTGTATGCACCTGGTATCGATGTAAGTTCTTCACATGTATTAACTTACTTCATTTTCACAACCCTAAGGAGTGGTGCTATTACGATCTCCGTGGAAGAGTTGTTCAGCTGAATGATCTAATGTTCCTTCCACCCCACTGCAAAAATAACTTTCTGCCTGAGATTCTTAACTCCATTCAGGCTGTGTATGTACCACAGAACATTTAAAGAAACTAAGCAGCAAATGCATACAGTTGTCTCCAAACAGTCGATTTTGATGAGAAAAATCAATCCGGCCGAACAGTGCAACTTTAGGTACCAAGCCTAACCTTTGAAAGTGAAATGTAGGGGTGCCTGGCTGGCTCAGTCGCTCAGAAGTGGCTGACTCTCAGGTTGTGAGATCAAGCCCCACGGCGAACTCTTTTTAGGCTCAGAGTCTGCTGAAGATTTTCTCTCCTCCCTCTGCTCCCCCTCCCCGCTCCTGCTCTCAAATAAACACATACATCTTTTTTAAAAGATAAAGTGAAATAGATTCATTTACTCCTGGGACAGGGCATACTCCAGCTT